TAAAGCCTCATTCCTTCACCAAAATGGCCGTGCATAGCCTTATGGAGGCTTATAGAGTGCTGCTGGGGGCTGGGGGGGGGGGGGCAAAACGGCCTGTTTTTTGCTCATTTATGCCCTCCCGAGGAGCTCTCTGAAAGCCTTCATAAGGCTATGCACGGCCATTTTGGTGAAGGAATGAGGCTTTAGGAGGCAAAAATGCTGTATTCTATGTATAAGATGCACCCAGATTTTCAGCCTCTTTTTGGGGGGAAAAAGGTGCATCTTATATTCCGAAAAATACAGTATTCTTCGCTTCCCCTGCTTTCTTACAGAGAATGATTTGCCTGAGTAGTTCTCTGGAATTCCAACTTCGATATAAATATCTGACCAGATCATTGGAGATTTCTCTGTTTTCCTGTTGGAGATTGGCTATTGCAATTCAAAATCTTTTATCTTTTGATGGCTCCACAAACCTTATGAAATGTCTGGCCCTTGTAATCTTTAAAGCCTGCATAGTTTTATGCAGTACAGATAGTCCTCGGCTTAGTTCATTTGGTGACCGTTTGGAGTTACAAGGGCACAAAAAAAGTGACATGACTGTCATACTTTGACCATTGTGCATCACTTGATCACATGATCAAAATTCAGTCACTTGATAGCTGATTTATATTTATGACCATTGCAGTGATTCAGGGTCATGTGATCCCCTTTTGCAATCTTCTGACAAGTAAAGTCAATGAGGAAGCCAGATTCACTTAACAGTCGTGTTATTAACTTAACAACTGCAATGATTCACTTAAGAACTGTGGCAAGAAAGGTCATAAAATGGGGGGAAATTCACTTAACAACCGTCTCATTTAGCAACAGAAATTTTGGGCTCAATTGTGGTCGCATGTCAAGAACTATCTATAGGTGTTGAATTGTGGCACTATCTAGAAACCAGATAAACTGGGATATCATTTTTATGTTAAAAGAGTCTTTCTGCGTTCCGTCTTTCTGCAAATTTGGAATTATCGCCTCTGAATTCCTTCCAGTTTTAGGGCTAATATTTTTCAGTTAGGGGCATATTCCTTGATCCAGATAAAGTGGTTACAATATAGAAGTCAATATATGAATTTCAGGTGGAGTCATATCAAACTCTGCACAATATTCAACAGCTGTCATGGCTGCAACCGTATTGATAGAATATACTTTCAAAAGTGTTTCCAGCTCTTTTTTATCATCATGCAAATTACCCCTTCCAGCTCCAGTTCAAACTTACCTCCAATGCTAGATTTATTCTATGATTTTTCTCTCAGACCTTGTGTCGCGTCTTTACCAAGTTGGGGAGTTCAGTGTAATGCTCTGGTTATCAATACCAAATGGCCATAGTTGGAGATCCTTCAGTGTAATGGAGCGTCTGGTGGTATAGAAAGCTCTCAAAACTGTTTTAGGGCCTTGACTCGGTGGTATTTCGTCACCGAAATACAGGTCATCCTTGATTACAATTATCATTTATTGACTGATAGCAACAGCACTGGAAAAACTGAACTCACCATCAGGCCTTACAAATCATTGCATCTCCCCAAGGACTGTGTGATCAAACTTCATGTGTTTGGCAACCAGCATGTATTCATTCATGAGAGCTGCAGTGTCTGGGGGGGGTCATGTAATCGCCCTGTGCAACCTGCCCAGCCGGCTTCCAACAAGCAAAGTCAATGGGGGAAGCTGGGTTGGCTTAACAACCACATCATTCATTTAACAACTGCAGTGATTTGCTTAAAAACCATGGCAAAAAAGGTCCTAAAATCAGGGTGTGATTCATTGAACAACTGCCTTGTTTAGCAACAGTAATTCTGGTTCCAACTGTGGTTGTACGTTAAGGACTACAGGCAGTCCTTGACTTATGGCCACAATTGAGCCCAGAATTTATATTGCTAAGTGAGAAATTAGTTAAGTGAGTTTTGCCCCATTTTATGACTTTTCTTGCCACTTTTGTTAAGTGAATCACTGGAGTTGTTAAATTAGTAACCCAGATTGTTAAGTGAATCTGCCTTTCACAATGACTTTGCTTGTTAAAAAGTCGCAAAAGGGGATGACACATGACACACACACACCCTCCCCTTGCACACTGCAATCATCATGAATATGAGTTAGTTGTCAAGCATCTGAATGTAAATCACCTGAACATGGGGATGCTACAATAACCGTAAGTGGGAAAAATGATCATAAGTCATTTTTTTCAGTTCCGTTGTAACCTTGAACAGTCACTAAGCAAACTATTGTAAGTCAAGAACTACCTGTATCTGTACCATTTTATCTGAACCATCATAAAACCTGTATTAAGAGTTCTTTTTGCGTTTTCTGGCCATTCATCCTATATTGGTATTTTGGCTTGACAAGGCCCTGACCTGGAAGATTCCACATTTTTTTTGGCAGTGCTCTGCCGCAAAGTCCTCATCGGTTTCATTGTACCAAACCGTGTAGCAAATGATTTAATTATCATGTCTACTATATAATCTTCCACTGTCAACACGCTGTCAAAACGCTGCCTTGCTAGCTGGTCCCTCGTGTATTGCAGCTCTGCTAGGTATCCCGTGCTTTGACTTGTGTGAAGCTCTTTGGACAGCATTGGCAGCTTTTATACAGGTAGTCCTCGACTTATGACTGGTCACTTAACAACCATTCAAGGTTGTGACAACAGCCCTCCCTAAGGTACTATGATTCACTCATGAAATTACCTCAGCTGAAGCATCCCTGTGGCCATTTGCCCTTATGATAGTTTAGCATGCCCCCCTNCATCCTGCCCTGCTGTGTACCCACACACACATACGCTGGTTCTGCTTTGCCACCCCACCGGGTACCACATACTCCTCCCCAACTGTTTGCTTAACATTTATAGATCCCCAGAGCTCAGGAGGTCTGAGTAGAGAAGGAGAACAGGCCACTCTGTTGCTGGGCAATGTGGCACAACCCACAAGTGGCCATCTTTTTCTGAGTAAAAAGCTAATATTGGCAGAACTAAAAATCAAACATTAGCGAGAAAAAGAAAACCAAAAGCTTTGCCAGCATTATTTTTCAGGCCGATGAGTAGGACGCCCAAGTGACTTTGGGGACCTCAAGGAGCAGGAAGTGGAGCAGGGAATATCTTGGGGTGTGGGGTGGCCCCCAGTATTACATGTTTGTGCCTACACTAGGCCCCGCAGGGTCTCCCCCACCCTTGAGGCACTCCATATTCCGTTTAATAACCTGCATGTTTGTTTAACAAAAGCATTGGGAGGAGCAGAAATGTGGGAGGGGGGATTGTCATTAAGTGAGAAGATTCGCTTAACAGCCCTCCTGACTCTGATCATAATGGGCAGGCTCCATTACTGTTGTAACTTAAAGACTACCTACCTATAAAGCCTTATTTTGAATGATGCATTTGGATGGTTAACAACGTCATGGCAGGCAGTCCCTACCCTCTGAAATTACTGTGAAGGTTGTTATTTGATTGTGTAGCTGCGGTTCTTTGAGTGTTGACCTTGATCTGTGCATTCTTGGGACCCACCTTTCCACTTGTGTAGCAGTCATTGCACTATAGCTATTTGTGTTGGCCTGAAAGTACTGAGGTAAAATGATGGAAAGAGCATGACCGTCTAGAACACAAAAATCGGCTTAGCTCTAGAGTGTTCCAAGCTTAGCTATTTATCTATCTATCTAATCTATCTATTTATTTATTTCATCAAATATGAATTAGATAACAGATATATGTGTAGACATGATTATGAATACATGAAATGACTACGAATACAAGGGAATATTAGGACAGGAACATTAGGCACGCTGGTGCGCTTATGCACCCCACTTAAAGACTCCTGAGGTCGACAGTAGAGAGTCTAAGGTTAAAGTTTTGGAGGTAAAAGCAAATGTCCATCCTAATGTGTGAATGCATTGATCCCCTCTCAAAAAAACAGAGTAAAAGGCCAGCAGGCTATTCTTTCTACAATGTGTTGTTGCAGAATTTAGAGCTTTGGTCGTGGAAGTAGAGAGGTGGGAGAGAGGAACTGTGAAGTTGTTGATTAGGGCAGGGGTTGGCATCGTTTTTAGGTGTCTTAGTTGCATTCCTTTCCTCAACAAAACAAAACACAACCCTCCAAATTTTGACATTTTTATCCCCTCCCTCCCTCCCCCACTATTACATTACAGGTAGTCCTCGATTTACAACAGTTCATTTAGTGACCGTTCAAAGTTCCAGTGTCACTGACACTGAGCGACTGTTGCAACATCCCCATCAGAGGTGGGTTCCTACCAGTTCGCACATCCCCATCAGAGGTGGGTTCCTACCAGTTCGCACCGGTTTGGTAGAACCGGTTCGTCAAATCTACCAAACCGGTTAGAAGAGGTTCCACCAGTGGGCCCGGAAAGCAAGCCACACCTACAGAAGAGGTTCCAAAATTTTTTGAAACCCACCACTGATCCCCATGGTCACAAAATCAAAATTTAGAGGCTTGGTAACAGATTCATATTCATGACGGTTGCAGTGTCCCTGGGGGGAGGGGGGGGCATATGATCCCCTTTTACGACTTTCTGATTAGCAAAGTCAATGGGGAAGCCAGATTCATTTAACAACCATATTATTAACTTGACAACTGCAGTGATGTGGTAAAAGATGTCGCAAAATGAGTCAAAACTCTCTTGCTTAGCAACATAAACATAAAATGCTCAATTGCTTCATGAGTTGAGGACCACCTGTAGATTGCAACGTTCATTCATAGGATCGTATGGAAAAACACCCAACATTTTGGGTGTTTAGTTTTTCTCGTAAGATCTCGCCCTTTTTGAATTTGTATTTATTTTGGGGAGTCTGCCAATACTATCTAAGAGCAGGGCAGAATTGCTGGCCCACATCTGAAGAGTCTGTATCCACCTCCTTAACATCGCTTTTCTTCAGTTCCTCCTCTTTTTCTTCCAATCCAGGCACTACTTCAAACGAGTTATAGTGGCTGCCCGAACCAAGAATTCCAAACTGGTGCTGAAATGCTTTAAGGACATCCCTCTGGAAGGCCTGGAGCAGCTGCTGCCCTTGGTCAAAGTCCGCACCTCCATCTTCCACAGAGCTCTGCTCAACACTATGCTGGTTGTGAGCGGCTTGGCCCTCTTTGTGAACGTGGGCATGGTGGTGCTGTCCGACCTCAAGATAGGAACCACCACTCTGCTCATCTTCTTTGCTGCCTTAATGGCCTTCAGGGCCTGGAAGGTAAGTCCATCTCCAGGGTTTCCAGGAATTCAGAGCTGCGAGCCAAAAAAAAAAAAAAAAACCCTGCTCAGACCTTCAAATTAATTAAATGCAGCAATATAATGTTTTAATAACTTTCCCCTTTCAGTAACATGAACGATTATAATTCATGGGCAATCCTTGAAGGGGCTCTTGGGGGCTCTGGACTAGGGAGATGGAGAGGCATGATTATCCTTGTAGGAGCAAGCTTAATTTAATTGAGGTTCTTCTAGGGCAGAAAGCAGGCTTGGCCTCTATCCCATACAGCTGTCAAGAGCTTTATGGCAGAGCACATGTCTTCTGCTTAGAGGAATCTCATGTGGTACAGCTGGTGGGGAATGCTGCTGCCAAAGAGACAGCTCTGAGAGAGGAGGCCTTTTAACTTCCTGTAGAAGGAAGATTTATGTCTTCCCGCAGACATTTTGGCTTTCTTTGAATAAATATCTGGGAAGGGAGTCCAGATCTTGCGGTTAAGGTTTGCTTGAGACGAAAACTGATAGCGGGTGAAGTACTTTTGATGCAGGGGTAGAGCCGATAAATGCAAAGGAGACAGTGTCCTGCCTTGGTTAGGGCTTGATTAGAAATTTTCCTGATATATTCTTTTTACAGGACTTTCTTGAAAGAAGCAGCAGGCTGAGGTTTCTCTGTGTCTTAAATTTGTCAGAATTTGTAATAATGTCTGTGGTTTCTGCTTCACTGGCAGGAAACAATGCCAGTAATTTTCTCCATTCTTGTCCCTTAACTTTAGCAGTAAAGAGAGGCCGCTTAAAGGGAGTGCCTCTTTCCCATCGAGACCTAACTGTACGACACTTCCATAATGGACATAAACATTTTACCAGCTTATCATAACTGTGCCGTTTTGTTCCCATTATGTTACAGAGAGGTGTCTGTGCACTCTGGCATGCTTCCTCCAAGAGGCCAGGATCTCACTTTGCATTTTGCTATGTCTCTCACGTGTGACCCTCCCCTCCGCCACACTTGGCCTCCTAAGGATTCAAATACAAAATCAGAGTAAGAATAGAGCTGGAAGGAACTTTGGAGATCTTCTAGTCTAACCCCCTGCTCAAGCTGTTCCTCTGGTTAATTGTTCTCACTGTTAGGAAGTTTCTTCTTTATTCCAGGTTGCGTCTCTCCTTGATTAGTTTCCGTCCATTGTTTCTTGTCCTGCCCTCTGGTGCTTTGGAAAATAAATTGACCCCCTCCTATTTGTGGCAGCCCTTCCTGTAATACCGTAATGCTGCTATCATGTCTCCCCTAGTCCTTCTTTTCTCTAGACTGGCCAAACCCAAATCTTGCAATCGTTCTTCATATATTTTAGTCACAAGCCTTTAATCATCTTAGTTGCTCTTCTTTATACTTTGCACTTTTTCCAAAGTCTCAACATCTTTTTTGTAATGTGACCAAAACTGGATAGAGTATACCAGGTGTGGTCTTACTAAGGCTTTACTAAGATAGTCCTTAAGGCCACAATTGAGCCTCAGATTTTGATTGCAAAGAGAAACATTGGTTATGTAAATTTGCCCAATTTTACGACCTTTCCTGCTACACTTGAATCACTGCACTTATTAAATTAATAATACAATTGTTATGTGTGGATCCGGCTTCCCGTTGATGTTGCTTGTCAGAAGGTTGCAAAAACATGACACACAACTGTCATAAATATGAGTCGGTTGCCAAGCATCTGAATTTTGATCATGTGACCATGGAGATGCTGTAACGGTCATGTACAAAAAACAGCCAAAGTTCACTTTATTCAGTGCCGTTGTAACTTTGAACAGTCACTAAATGAACTGTTATAAGAGCTGTATCAGGGGTCAGTAATCTTAAACACTCAAAGAGCCACAAAGGTCCTAACCGGAAGCCCCCCATTCAATTCTAGAGCCAACCAGAAGTCCGGTTCCCCCACCATAGAGTCTCCTCCTATCACAGCATCCTTTTTCCTCTACCTGTCCTAACCGATAGCCCTATCAATTGTGGAGCTGACCAGTGACAGGGAGCCACAGCAGAGGGGTGGAAGAGCCACATGCGGCTCCTGAGCCGCGGGTTGCTGATCTATATTCTATGTTTTTTTTAATAGGTCTTTGGCCAGCGGAGGAACATCCACTCTCTCGAACTGGTGCATATGCTGTACTACCGCAGCACCTCCAATAACTCAGAGCTTTTGAATGCCCTCACTCTGCGAGCCCAGGAGGAGCATGCCAAGGAAGTCATCTTGGCACACAGTTTCCTATTACGGCACCAGCAGCCCTTGCCTAAGGAGACAGGAGTGGAAACAGGTACGGTCTGATTTCGATTCCTTGGGCTGGAATAGGGGTGCCAGGAGGTGGGGGGGGGGGCTTCTCTGTGGGTCTGTCTCAGCTCCAGCAGGGTCTCTGACTCCTCTCTTTGCGTTTGCAGACTGCAACCCTGTTGAACACCTGAGGAAACAGGTTGAGGCTTGGCTGCGTCAACGCTCTGGGCTTGAAATTAACTTCTGTGCTGAACGTGCCTGCAAGCATCTCAAGGAATTGGGAGTTAAGGGAGCAGCCCATCCTGTCATTGGATGAGAGCTTCCTAGGATTGTTTTAATTGGTGTTTGGGGCTCTAAATCAGCCTTGTCCCTGTGGTATTGAGCATGCCAGGTTTTGAAGGCGAAAGGATGTGAACCTTATTTTTCCAAAGCTCTAAGAGAACAGTGCCCTGTGGTGTAATTACTTATGCCACATGGATCCTTAGAAGCTATTGGATTTCAGCTCCCGAGATGTGCTTCAGTTAACGCCAGATTTTCTTCCAGATATCCTATTGGAAACGTGCTGTAATGTTAACATTTGCATGCTATGAAAGTACTATTTGGAGTACAACCTTAGACCTCATTATACAAAGCCATAATGCACCTCAGATTCTCTTCTTCGCAGAGAGGAAACTTCCTTGCTTTTAAAATATCAGCACTTTTTATTAGACATGCTGTTTTTTTCCCCTTTGAGCTGTTTATTTTTCTTTCCCCAAGGAATGAGGGGAAGCAGTTTACATTTGAAATGAGCACTGTGCAAAGCAGTGAATCTCTTTTGCATTTAGGGCGAGATGGGTTTTTAATATCATGTGCTAGCCTGCTGGGGGCATTTCTGAAAAATATATTAAATCACGTCTGCAGCACTTTGAATTGCATAGTATACACTTAATGCCAGGCTTGAAAGCCATATCACATGCTAGGCTTCCTTGCTTTAATTTTTTTTTCCTGCCAGTTTTACAGAGGTGGCAGAGGTTCACGCTTTCCATCCTGTGTGGTCCTGAAGAAAATAGCAAGTTCAGGTTGTTTGTAGAGAAAAAATAAATTAATAGGTAAGTTCTGATTTGCTGGAAAAATAGATCCCTATTCCTCTCGGTGCAGTAATTTTTACACTAAAATACAAATATTTTGCTCTTCAAATTTGAAATCTGGGAATTTGCACACAGCTAAGGAATTCTATTATGGGGACAGTGCATGCATGGCTGGAAGACCAGGTCATAGAGAAATTGTCATGGAGAACATGGTATCTGCCAGGATTCAATGTTTAAGTGGGGTCTTGTCTCTACCCCTCAGTGTGACTGTGTTGCTCCTTGACAAAATATCTATCACATTGTGTCCGAATGTCCATCAAGAGCTTACATCAGCCCAATGTCTGATTTTTTTTCAACCTAGACCACCCTGTCCTTGAATGGCTGGATGGACTGGACATTAACTTTCAAACCATTATAGGTTTATGTATTTGTCATACACTAAATAAATAAAAAGGGATGCGGTGGCTAAGACGCCAAACCTGTCAATGAGAAAGGTGGTTAATTCGGCGGTTTGAATCCCTAGCACCACGAAACGGAGTGAGCTCCTGTTACTTGTTCCAGCTTCTGCCAACCTAGCAGTTCGAAAGCATGTAAAAATGCAAGTAGAAAAATAGGAACCATTTTTGGTGGGAAGGTCACAGCGTTCTGTGCTTCTTTGGTGTTTAGTCATGACCACAGAGACGTCTTCAGACATCGCTGGCTCTTCGGCTTTGAAACGGAGATGATCCCCCAGAGTTAGGAGCAACTAGCACATATGGGCGAGGGGAGCCTTTACTTTTACTTTTAAATAAATAAATGTCAAGGAGAAAATATAGGTGGTCATTAAGAATTGACAATAACCTGATGGCATATTACATGAATTGGAAAGGGTGCATGAACTGGAGCATTTTCATGTGAATCTGTTCTTATTCTATCCCTATGGTGACTCCCTGAACATTGACTTTTGTCTATATGGATGGGTAGCTGATATATGTTCAATGCATGGGTGCATGTACTTTAAAGAGTGTTCTCAAAACAGGTGCAGCCTTGTCCATCCTAGCTGGAAGACATGAGGCTTTTCTCCTATTTCTCTTTCCCATCTTCCTTCGTCTTGAGAAAGCCTATGTATTCTTTGGGGAGCTGCCAGAAAGACGCTTGTATCAGATCTGTATTCTGTCCATACAAGTTTGAGAGTATGACAGGAGCAACAAGAGCAGCAATCCAATTTTTTCTAGGTTTTATTGAAAGGTCAATCATAGACATAGCCTCAAGATGAGTGAGGGAAATGTTTAAAAGTACTGCTCTGGTCTCAAGAGAGCCAATTGTAAACACATTTGTAGTATAATGATTTAGTTGAGAACATTTCCGTGCCGTTCACTTGTGATCCTTCAAGGAGACTGGTGCTGCTATCTAGTTACCTGTTTCCAGATATTGGCCAAAGAGATTTCCAGGGTGATACCTACGTGGATGGTGGTAGGAGTGGAGCCTCAGAACAGATGGCTTTGAGCCTGAGCTTATGCTAATCACGCTTCCATCCAATGGGAATGCTTCATAGTTTGTGGGAGATACAGAAAGGTCTCTTTCTTATGTGCAATAAACTTTTTTGTGCATCACTGCATTTTCTTTTCTTCAGCGTGTCTGGTTTTGTATGGTGCTTTTTCAGAGGGCAACTGGACTTTGTTTTTCCTTGAAGATGTTTCACTTCTCACCCAAGAACCCTCTTCAGTTCTGCTTTACTGAAGTTCCCAGCGCTTGAAATTTTGGGAACAAGTTGTTGTGGTTACAATCTTTTTTGCCACACTTGCTAAACAAATCACTATAGTTGCTAGCGAATCATGGAGTCATTAAGCAAATCTGGCTTCGCCCATTGACTTTGTGAGACGTTAGTTGGGCAAATCGAAAATGGCAATTACATGACCCCAGAACAATGCAACCATTGTAAATGACTGCTGGTTGCCAAATTTTGATCATATGACCATGAGGATGAGGCGGCAGTCATATGTGTGCAATCTAGTCTTAAATCACTTTTATTAGTGCCATTTTAACTTTGATTAATCACTAATTGAAGGGTTGTAGTCAAGGATTAATTGTAACCTCTTGTTGATATGCTTCTGAATGACATGTACAGTCCAAACATGTACTTTTGTATAGATATGTCTCTGAGAGCTCAAGGGCAGATAGCCCATTTCTAGTTTCAGGCCATAAGAGCTTGTAAATCGGATGGATTATATGTTGTCATCTAAAGCATGATGGTGAGCTCAATTCCTGGTGAGGAGTTTAAAAATCAGAATAATATCTGGCTATCCCTGTTTAAAGACTCTCAATAAAAATGCAACTGATCATGTGGTGTCTTGTGGTGGTCCATATAATTGTCAGAGCAATTTCTTTTTTATTTGAGTTGGCAGGTACTCATCCCCAATAATACCTTTATTAGATATTATATTAGAATTTGACATCTGGGCAAAACGATTGATTTCAAAGCAATAACTACTCTGCTTTTTCCTCAACACAGGCAACCTTCGTTTAATTTCCGTCTTGTTTAGCAGCTGTTTGCAGTTATAACAATGTTGAAAACTTTCCACTGCGCTGTACAGTAGAAGCCATTTTAAGGCACAACAGGCTGTATTTTAATAGAATACACAGCCCAAGGGGTTTTAGGGGTATCTCACCCCCACAATATTTGTTTCCAGGGGGTAAGTCAAACTGTGTATCAAGTTTGGTTGAAATTGCTCGAGGCATTCCAGAGTTATGCTGGAACTTACACTCCTAGTCATTTATTTATATAGATATATATAAAGAGATAAAACGGAGGCAACTTGGCCACGTTGGTCAGGCAATCTTTTTATCTGAACATCTTTCCCAATGGTTAATGATGGTAACACATTTTTGCATTGAGAAACCTGTTGGGATGGAAAATCCTACAGAACAAACCATAACTACATTGTATTAATGCCTACTTGTTGAAACAATGTTTTTCATAACTTTTAAGATGTGGACTTCAGTTCCTAGAATTCCCCAGCTAGCATGGGAATTCCAGGAATGGAAGTCTGCACGTCTTAAAGTGGCTAAATTTGAAAAACAGTGACTTAAAAATTTCAGCAATGGCGCTGAATGCTCTAAGCATGGTTTCCAAAGAGCTAATAGTCTGCAGTAGCCAGCAACCATTTGTCCTTTGCAGAAACCTCCAGTTTAGTAAATCCTCTTTTTAGTGCAATCTTTTTGCTAAGTCTGGGCTCTTATTATTCCTCAGATTGCTTGTGTTCTTACAAAAAGGCAACTCCTATTTGTGCTTGGCAGCAGATATTCTTCAGATCTCAACAAGATTAAATATTTATTCATTCCGAGGCACAGATCTGTGCTTTGCCAGATGGCAAATTAGCACCCTCTGTAGACTTTAAGCTGCACTTTTGCCTAATATGGATGGGAGTAGGTTACTTTGTCAGCGAGGCAGACAGTCCAGTAGTTATACCGCACAGGCAGTCCAAAAGCAACTCGTTCCAATTTTATACCCCACACGTGCAAAGTGAATAAGGGATCCTAGAACAAGAGTTACCAATCTTTCAGAACTCGTGGACCACTAAATTCATAATTTTAAATCCCGCGGACCACTAATATGATCTGCCTAATGACTGACTGGTGGGTGTGGCCAACTCAATGTCACTCACATGAAGGGGTGCCTTGTCAGCCTCTACTCTCCACTCCACCTCCCCGCCCAGGCTCCTTAGAGCCCCAAAAGTTGTTGGAGCTAAGCAGCCACCATGAGAGTTGGCAAAATAGCTGTCTCAGCTCAAATTGGATCTGACTGAGAGGGAGGCTCAGCAGAAGCACCTCACTGGGGACTATGAGCATAGGCTTTCCAAGCAGAGGGAAGACCTATGGGAGTGCAAGGCCAGTTACCGGCGCCTGAAGCTTCAGCGGGCTGAGATGGTCAGCCAGTTCCAGGCCATGGCGGCAGCCCCACTGGAACAAGTCCCTCCAGCTCTTCGCCACCAGTGGCACTTCCCTCCAGCCTTCACCCAAAGCCCTGCGCCGGGAGGCTGAAGCAAACCCCAAGTCGGAATTTCTGCCCTCACTCCGATCTGCATAAAAAGGGGGAGACACTCTGCGGCAAAAAAAACGTTCATTGCACGGATCCATAACCAGTTTGAGGACCCCCGATTTAGTGCAATATAAAAAATGCAAATAATTTTTCTGCAGACAACCAAAACCTTAGCAGTTGGTGACCGCTGTCCTAGGACCAACCAGTCACAACCATTCGGTTCTCATCTACGAAAATAATAGGGGCTCTGGGGAAGCTTGTAAGCAGCTTAAATGTTCAAATGCCACAATACGGATAGTTCTCGACTTATGACCACAACAGAGGCCAAACGTTGTTGCTAAATGAGACTGTTAAGTGAATTTTGTGCCATTGTATGACCTTTCTTGCTTGTTAGTTGTTAAGTGAATCACTGTTGTTGTTAGTAACCTGTTAAGTGAATCTGGCTCCCCCATTGACTGGTTGTCAGAAGGTCACAAAAAGTGATCACATAACCATGAGACACTGCAACAGTCATAAACATGGGTCAGTTGCCAATCATCTGAATTTTGATGATGTGACTTTGGGGATGCCACACTCATCGTAAGTGTGAAAAACGATCGTAAATCACTTTTTTCAATGCCTTTGTAACTTTGAATGGTCAATGAATGAACTGTTGTATGTGGAGGACTTCCTGTAAATAGAATAATTTTCACTTAAAGCAGTTCATTTAGTGATCATTCAAAGTTACAATGGCATTGTAAAAGGTGACTTATCACCGTTTTTCACACCTATGACTGTGGCAGCATGATCAAAATTCAGATGCTTGGTAGCTGACTCGTATTTATGACCATTTCTATGTCCCTGGGCAAAGTCAATGGGGAAGCTAGCTTCACTTAACAACCAGATTACTAACTTATCAGCTGCAGTGAGTCACAACCCCTGTGCAAGAAAAATAGGTCAAAACTCAGTTAACCAATATTTCACTTTACAACAGAAAGTTTGGGCTCAATTGTGGTTGCATGTCAGGGACTACCTGTAGTTTTCCCAATTAGATGGTAAGGCAGTGAATGAACAACTGCAGTGTGGAACTGTGGCTGACCCTGACATAGCTGTGTGGATAATATTTAAGTTGCAATCTGCTACAGATGGTCCTCACTTACTAACTCATGCAGTGTCAAAGCTAGAGTTATTTTTCTAAAAAAGACTGCTGACACAAATTCTGTGGCACAACCATCCCAGCATCCCAATCACATGATAGCAATAGCAGTTAGACTTATATACCGCTTCATAGGGCTTTCAGCCCTCTCTAAGCGGTTTACAGAGTCAGCATATTGCCCCCAAAAAAAAACCCGGTCCTCATTTTACCCACCTCGGAAGGATGGAAGGCTGAGTCAACCCTGAGCCGGTGAGATTTGAACAGCCGAACTGCAGAACTGCAGTCAGCTGAAGTAGCCTGCAGTGCTGCATTTAACCACTGCACCACCTCGGCTCTCTCGGCTCTGATCACCGTTCAGGCACTTCACAACCAATGCACATGGCTTATGCTGCAGAATCGGAGTCGAATGAGCGCTATTCACATTCTTCACAACTAATGGAGGACACGGAAACCACAGACATGTGACACCTTACTTTACAGCCATTGTGGTTTACCTGTACTTACCAACCAAGTACAAGTCATATCATAAGTCCATTGTGGTCGCATGATTTTATGCTTAGTGACCACATTACTTAGCAACAGGAGTTGATAGTCGCATTGTGTCAGCTAAAGAAGAGCTATCCAAATCATAATCTTTCACGGTCTCTAAATACGAGCTTCCCTTGTGAAAGTTAGGAGAATTGGAGTACAAACTATTTGCCACCCCAAAGAAGGAAAACAACAGCTCCGTCAAGTCTTTTTGTTGCTTTTTTAATTTCTAAAATACATATAAAATATCAAAAGCCATTGGAAGAAGACAAAAGGGGACATTTGTAAAGCATCAATTTTATGGCTAGCAATCAAGTTGAAGGAGGAGCAAACCTGTTGAAGAAAGATGGTACACATGCATAATATTTGAACATTCCTTAAACTGCAGATTTTTGGATATGCATTTTACAGTCCCTATAATTTCCAGTCAGTAGGTTGAAAATAAAGGGAGATACATTTGGAAAAAGCTAGAAAAACTTGAAATATTTAAGTACGAGTGGGAACAAATACTGTTGCCACTGTACACCCACTGAGCAGGGAGTTACAATTAATTGTAACTCACTGAATGAAGTTACTGAAATTTAGTCCTTGTTTAGTGACTCCCGCATTTAGTGACCATTCACAGTTCTGATGGTGATGAAGAAGTAACTGCAGTCAATTTTAATATTTATGACCTTTATAGGTCTGTAAAGGGGAGATCACAAGCAGTTGTGATTTTCAATTAGCGAGTATTTTGCTTAATGACTCAGTTGACAGTCCCAGTTTTGCTTGCCAAATGATGCCTATATACTATAAAGAAATCTGAAGGTTAAGGAATAGTAACATAGATTTTAGATACAGAACAATCAATATCCCACCAACTAAACTTTTTATCCCACAAATCTATTTAAAAGTAATTATTTTCCCAATCTACTTTTCCTATGTAGAATATTCTGGAGGGGAAGCATTCTAAAGACAGGATGAAGCTAATATGTGGGAATAGAGGTAAAAAAAAATAGAAATGGCTGTACAAAACAAGTGCATAACTGAAGATCCCTAATTTTCTATATGTGTTGCATACAAAAGGCGGTATCAGTTGCATAGTTATGGCCGCCATCTTCACTTTTTTGACCTCCCTCACAAATGCTCCTACCATTACAATAATAAGAGGACACTTTTTAAAAGATTATTTTAAAAAATTTGGAACAAGCACAGAGTCCCGTGGCCTCTTCTTTCAACTTTTAAAAGTTCAATGATTTTCTCAACTGCAATTTAATAGGTATTTTATCCAAGCTGTATTTTAGGTCCCAAGAGGCAAGTGAGAAAAGACAGAAAAATCTGCAATAAAACCAACATGTTATGAAGCAGATTCTTATTTAAACTCCATTTTAAAATCTTTTTTAAACCCCCCACGAGGATCCTCTTACATGATGTTTCAATTTGCCTTCCATTTGCAAAAACTTTAAAAAAGAAATATATTTTATATCTATACTACCAATGCCATGTTTTTCCCATTAAAATACATATTTCAAATAAAACTGGTTTCTATTTTTTAAAAAAAGGTCGGGGAATTGTCTGCCATACTTCAGTTTATCAAAAAGGAAGATTATTCATTTTTTTTAAAAGAACACTACAGGAGGAATATATTGTTCCCTCATTTGCAAAAGTAAAAAGTGGCTATAATCTACATGTACATAATTACAAAAACAAGAAGCAAACATTTTTCCAGATATTAAGAGAATGGGCTGATAGAATGGCATGATATCATATCATTTTGCCAGCAAAATATTCATGAATATTTTGCTGGCAAAATGATATGACATCATGATATCAATTCATGGTAACCTGTTGGACTAAAGAAATGCCCAGTGTATGATGGCACAACTTTAATTTCCCATATCATGGGAGATCTATATAAATACAGGTAGTCCTTGACTTACAACCCTTCCTTTACTGACATGTTTGAAGTTACAACAGCACTGAAAAATAGTTTTCACGTTTAATGACCATTGCAGCATCCCCATAGTCATGTGATCAAAATTCGGATGCTTCACAGCTGACGTCTGGAAAATTAAGCCAATGGGGAAAGCAGGATTCCTTTAACGACCACATGGTTCACTTAACAGCTGCTGTGATTCGCTTAACAGCTGTAGCAAAAAGGTCGTAAAACGGGGTACTCACTTTAAAAATGGTCTTGCTTGGCAACAGAAATTTGGGGCTCAATTGTGGTCATAAGTCGAGAACTACTTGTATGCAAAAGAAAACCGTGTGCTTATAATGCAAGAACCCCCACAGATCAAGTTACCCATTGCATAGAATTTCGTGCCATGAGTGCTTTCAAAAACTGCGAAGAATGAATGCATAGCTGAATTGAAAGGAGCACAAGTCTCCTTCCAAGGTGAACGGAGAAGTTCCCTCGTTGTAAGTCACTCTTTTTTCCGAAGGTGGATGTAAACAATCCCACTAACAAGGGCCAAGGGAAAAGCAAGCCAGGCTAGGACAAAACAGTGACCGTAAGAGCCACCGGGCATTCGACCCTGCTGGAACGTGTCCACGTGAATAGTGTAGATCAAGGCAGCTGTGAACACAGAAACAGCTGGGAAGAAACCAAAAACAGGTGAATTAGGATCAGGTTACAGCTCCATCTTGCTTTCCTTTCTTAGCAAGCAACCCAAAAAATTATTACATCCTTCCCATCAATATAGACAATTCCTAGAGTGCAAAATCTTACCAGATGCCTATTCAGATCTGCAATAGGCATCCCAAGATCAAAGAATTCACAGCATTAGAGCTAAGTGGGCAGAAAGGGGTGGTGTGGGAGAGAGGGAGGAAGAGACTTATGATATTTGGGGTGTTGTTGAACTACAACTTCTAATTGGTAATTCCGATTGGAATAGCTGGGGTGAGCGTTTCTTAACCTTGGCAACTTTAAGACAGGTGGACTTCAATTCCCAGAATTCCCCCGAAAGCAATTCTGGTTTGGGAATTCTTGGAGTTGAAGTCCACCCATCTTAAAGTCACCCATCTTAAAGTCACCCACACAGCTATTTGAAGGGCCAAGCTTTGCCACTCCTGAACTTCACTTAACTTGGGCTTGCAAGGTCCTTACATTAAAAAGATAATTTGGGCAAATGGAACACAACCAGATTCATCCAGGGTTCCAGTGAGAATTTTGCATATCATCCCAATTAAGTTAGACCTTAATATGATGGGGAATTCTGGGAGTTGAAGTCTACAAACCTCCAAGTGGCTAAGGTGGAGAAACATTGATCTATGCAATGTCCCCTTCCATTTACATGTTGCACATGGAAACATCTGCTCCCCTACAACTCGGCCCCAATTTTTCTTCCTTGTAGATGCTATCACCTTTCTCTTGTACTGTGATTTTACGGCCTCCAGATGATGATTAAATTTGGAACCTTACCAGTCAATATCTGGAAAATCCCTGTGGCGTAAAACAGGCTTCCCCGCTTCATCGTGTAGAGCTGCCACATGAAAATAATGAAAGCTAAACTGGAGAAGAGAAGGCTTAAAACCATGAATGCCTGGACTCCATGAAGCCATTCTGGGGAGAGAAACCATTGAAGAGGAAAAAAAACATTAAGAACAGACCTTATCAATCTGCCTTCTCCAGAAAAGTTTCCAGCAGCCCAAATGGCTCGAAAATATGAGTCATATATAATGGGAAATTCTGGGAGCTGAATATCTGAGGGGCACCTGGTTTGAAAAAACGCATTCTTATCTTGAAGCAGAATAGTGAATATCACACAAGTATGCAACCTTCACTCCAACCTCTTGCCAAGTTTGACCCTTTCCTGCAGATTCTAGGAGATGACCAGGCTGGGCACAAGGGAGGGGTCAAATGCTTAAAAATCATGAGTCTCTGCATGCCCCACAAGAGATCTAAGTCCAGCCCACCTTGAATACCTTCTTAATTCCCTCTCATTTCTCTTGACTATTAGTAGCTCAGATTCTTCTAGAGATCTTAAGTCTTTATACTCATCTGAACCGCCTGAATCTCCTGATTTCCCTGCCACTTGAAGGGAAATGGCCATAGATGGTCCTGGGCCATTTCCACAAAACCCAAAGTATATACTCACTACTGTCAGACACCGGGTGACAAGTCCAGTTCTGGTGCTGGTTATCCATCAGACATTCATTCCAGATGTTCACTGTTTCTCTGTTAGGCAGAACCCACCATGACTAGAACAAAAACAAAATAAAACACCCCAGCAGAGACAAGGAATTAGGACAAAACAGATGAGGCCAAACAGGTCACCTTTCCAAATGGGTGAGTGAGTGTTAATAAACTGCCTCCAACCCATAACAGGTACTGTTTCAGTACGGTGCTCCAGAGAGCCCACCCGCCCTCCTTACCTGTATTTGTGCTCTTCCGCGCAGGGAGCATACGGCGCCTGTGCAACGCTCTGCCGAGCATTGCAGGAGGTAAGGACGCATGCCCGCACTGTGTGCGTTCATGTGGTAGATGCCAGGCCCCGTTGCACCGTACCAGTTGCACCAAGATCCGGAACCCACCACTGCTCTATATATACCATTTCAGACAAGTGGCTATCCAGTCTCTTCTTAAAGGCCTCCAATGATGGAGCACCTGTAAATTCTAAAGGCAAATTGTTCCACTGGTTAATTATTCTCGCTGTTAGAAAGTTTTCTTTAATTCCAGGTTGCTTCTATAGATAGATAGGCAGAATGAATGAATGGATGGATGGATGGATGGATCCTTGAAATTGAACTGCGTATTATACAGGCAGTCCTCAAACTTATTACTGATCTCTTAGTGACCAATCGAATTTCAAATGCAGCTACTACCTTGAGGCTAGTTATGACCTGGATTCAAAGTTCTAACAGTCGCCCTACATCCCATAGCAAACTTTGGGCACTCAGCAACACGGCTGCATTCACAAATGTTTGCATTGTCCCATGATCACACAATTGCCTTTTACAACACTTTCAACCAAAATCAGCACTTCTGGTTTTATAGCAAATCATTGGTTCACTTAACCATGATGGTAATTTGCTTAATGACTGCTGCAAAAAAAGATTGTAAATGAAGTGTCATGTGACCAACCCATTTTATGACTATCATGACTTACAACCATGGTGATCAAGCTCCATTATGGTCATAATTGGGATTGCCTGTACCTGTAATTGTAAAGTTTGTTTTCCCAGCCTGTGGAATCAAGGAGGAAAATGTATTCAGTGCAACAAGAAGCATTTGAAAATATTCTGACTTTCCTAAATATTTTTTCATAACTTTTTCTCTTCAAGCTTTTCTCCTGTAATTGGTTTTATGTGTAGTCTCGTAGTGATGCTGCCAAGCTCTGGAGGCTGCCACCCATTCCTGAATCTTTCTCCCAATAACTTCTCCTAATGTTTCTCTTCTCCGTTCTTCTTTCCTAGTGTTTTGATCTAGGCTTCCCCAAAAAGCACGAAGCAGATTTCTGGTCTCAACTAAAACCCTTTTATTAAAGAATGTGAATTCCTCTCATTCACATTCAGCAAAGGCCTGCCTGGTAAACAGTCTTTCAAAGGTGAATTTATGACCACAGACATTATCTAGCTTGGAAAGCTGCTATGTAAATATTTTCCAAAGGCAGAGCTGTGCACGGAAAGACTGGGCACAGAGTCTCTGAGATTCATGGACAGATCTTCATACTCCTGAAACGAACTAATGAACGAATTGTTTCCTGCAAAATCCCACTCCCCTTCCGCTCCTCTTTTATTTCCTGTGGATGGGGCCATTCACTCTCCTGTGGCTTTATTCCCAAGTCGACCCTAATTTCTGAGCGGTTCTTTTCTTCTGGCAGCTCTGTGCATGTGCGCACTGAGAACAGGCTCCAGCTGTTCCTCTGCCTCACTGCTGTCCAGCTCTGAAGGCAGCTGACAACTGCCAGATGGCCTTGGCCCCATCTCTGCCTCTGACGCAGAACCCTCGTCGGAGCCTTCCCCAGCCACCAGGACTGGCCCATGCTCCTCCCCAATCTCCTCACTGTCCGAATATGCTGCCAGCTCTGCTAGCCACTGGCAGGCCACAACACCTGGTTCTCTATTCCTTCATATTTTTTCTCTTAGTGGACAGAGGAACTTTTGACTTTTTAAAAAAACATGTCATATACAGATAGTCCTCAACTTATGACCACAATTGAGCCAAAAATTTATGTTCTTAAGTGAGAAATTTGTTAAGCGAGTTTACCCCATTTTTTTTCACCATATTTGTTAAGTGAATCACTGCAGTTCTTAAATTAGTACCGCAATGCTCAAGTGAATCTGGTTTCCCCATTGACTTGGCCGGTCAGAAGGTTGCAGATGGGACACTGCAACCATCATAAATGTGAGTCAATGTAAATCACGTTGGCATGGGGATGGCGGTAACAGTCATAATTCTGAAAAAACGGTCATAAGTCACTTTTTTCACTGGCGTTGTAACTTTGAATGGTCACTAAATGAACTTCTGTAAGTTGAGGATTACCTGTACAGGTAATCCTTGACTTATCACCATTTCTTTAGTGACCGTTCAAATTTACAACAGCACTGAAAAAACTGATTTATGCCTATACAGCATCCCTTGTACAGCATGAGCACAGGAACGTGAGAATACTGTATCCTTTTGGTGAGACACAGGCAGAAATCCAACAGGTGACTTTTCTTTCTTTCTTTCTTTTTTCCCCTGTGGCCAGGAGGGAAAGGAAAACAATTGCAGATGGTCCTCAACTTATGTTCGCTTAGTGATCATTCAAAGTTACAACGGTACTGAAAAAAGTGACATGCAATCTTTTTTCAAACTTACGACTGTTACAATATTCCCATGGTCAAAGGGTTAAAATTTGGACACATGGCAACTGGTTCGTGTTTATGACGGTTGCGGCCTCCCAGGGTCATGTGATGACCTTTAGTGACAAGCAAAGTCAATGGGGAAGCCAGAATCACTTAACAACTGTGTTACTAACTTAACAACTGCAATGATTCACTTAACAAATGTGGCAAGAAAGGCTGTACAACGCGACAAAGTCCACTTAACAACTGTCTTGCTTAGCAATGGAAACTTTGGTCTCAATTGTGGTCATAAGTCAAGGATTGTCTCTGTTTAAGATGTAACTGGTGGAAACCCTATTAAAGAATCAAGTTTTGGGAGCGAAAGGGAAAGGTTGCATGGGAAGAAATAAAACAAAAGGGAGTAAAGCAAATCTTGCAAATTACTTTCATTTCAAGTGATACAACAGGGGACACAATGTATCTATCAAATGTCTCAAAACACAAAAAAATTATTTTAAGACAGGGTTTCTCAACCTTGTAATTTTAACATGTGTGGACTTCAACTCCCAGAACTCCCCAGCCAACATTGGTAGCTGGAGAATTCTAGGAATTAACATTCACCCATCTTCAAGTTGCCAAAGTTGAAAAAGATTGTCTTGAGGAATTAAGGTGCATGGAAATTTTGGCTTGTTTTGTTGGAAAGTTACAGATTCCTCATTCAAGATAAAATTATTAATGAGTTAAACAAGTCATATGTGCAAATTGTTCAAAGTGGAAATAGGATTCATGGCTGTAACCCAGCCTTTTCCTGTGTTAACAGGCATGCTTCTGTGGTTTTTTAATCAACAAACTACTAATCCTGAGGGATTTGTCAGATTCCTGAAGCAAGGAAAGAGGCACAGACAGAGAATTATCTGTCTCTTTCCCCAGCAGAGGTTCAAAATGCCGCCACTGACAATTCACCATTCAAAACAGATACACGCACGAACACACAATCATCTTAAATCAGAGGGGCTTAATATCAATCATCTTCCCAAAACTAGTCAGAGCAACAAAATATGGGGATACAGACATATTCTTTGGGATCAGTATAAAGCAGAATAAGACAATCTTTATTTTATTTTTAAAAAATCTGTTTTGAATTTAAAGGAGGAAAAAAAGAATATATAGTAGTTTAAAAAAATGGTTAAAAAATTGAGTTCATAAAGGCTTTTCGGGTTGTGTCACATACCCCATTAGTTGTTAGTTGATGCTTGTTTCCCAAATGCATTTTTGTTTACCTTTTAAGAGGGCTCTCCCAAAACATAAATGGTGTGCATAAGTATGTTTACAGATGTGTAAATATATTCTGCTTTTGGGGAGAAACAAAGACCAATTAGAAATGCAAGGAGCAAGAAGAATTTCAGGCAAAAGTGTTCTGCCATTGGGGAGTCTTTGAAGTGTCTATGGCCTTCTCTTAGGCTCTATTCTTGACATCTGAGGAGCAATTATCTTGAATAAAAAATGTGGCTGGCACTTTCAAGGGATTCTCTTCAGATCAGTTTATGTGCATCCCTTACATATATTTAGCTTGTGAATAAATCTTATTATTCTTAACAAAGAGATGAGTAAATGTGTAGGAGCCAAGATCATCTGGGGCACATTTGAATGCCCTTTGGTTCAAAGTCTTTGCCTAACCAATCTTGAAGAAAACAACCAGATGACATAGCCTGCTTCTCATCCTTAGCTCTTAAACCAAGGCAGATTAATTTCTTATTTTTCTGAACTAAAAACTAAAGTGGTGTTTTCCATCTTCTCTTGACACCAGCCTTGCTATCCACATAACTGGTGGTTGATGGTGATCAAGCTTATATTGCAAAAGGTGAGAGATCAAGCCAACTACCTTCATTTTTATCATTTTTTCAGCAACAGATAGAGATGATGGATATAAGTAAGTTGTTCAGCATTTTTTCTTCATTCTAACCCACATTATTATATGTGTAAAACCTTTATCCTAGGAGTAAACATTTTAGCCTCTGGATAATCAGATGATGAGCACATACTAAAATTTGGAAGAAGGTTAGAATCGCTTGCTGATAAAAGAGAAGAGGCAGAACCTGGGAGAAGGTGGAGTCAAGAAAGCAATCAGCCTGGAGTCCTTACATTCCCATAAGTAATCAGCCCCCCTTGAATTCTGTTGACTCTTCTCTAGTCCCAATTTAGTGCTGACCATTATATTAGTTGATTAGATTCTTGTGTATAGGCATAAGCAATAAATCAGCTTAACTACAATTTAACTTGTAGCTATGGTTTTCCCCTCAAGTGAAATGCTGAGCAAAGATATTTACTATCCTTGATTAAAACCTGGTACCTCATCAAAGAGTCAGAGGAAATTGTCTCTACAGTTGAGCTTACTAAATCATGAAGCACCCCTTATAAAATCCAGATGGCTGGACAATTCTGAGAATTGTAACGTAACAGCACTGAGCACAGAAGGGTAGGGAATGTAGAATTAGTAAGCAGCTCTCAAACAAAATATTGAATCTGCAGATTAAAAAAGAACTGGACTATTTCAATTCTTACTTACCTTGTCCAAGGTGGCTACGAAGAGTAAAATGAGGATAAGAACATGGAGGGCTGTGACCGCGAAGAGTAGGAAACTCATCCTGAAAGCTGAATGGAGAGAAGAAAAACATAGATTAAGTTTACACGTATCCTTCCTCGTGGCTGGTTAAAGCAAGTAGGAACCACTGTTTTCCCAAGCAAAATTAATCCTACTATGTCTCCTCAAATTGATAAATTATGTGCTCTCCAGATTCTGCATTCCAGAAGCTTTCTCCCTGTTATCCAGTTATCCGTGTCCCTTTCCAAGGATTCACAAATCTCAGTTCCAAAGGAAAAACAAATGAAAAATTTATCCCGTTACTCAGACCTTAGCCAGTTTATTCCAAATTGCCTCAGGATGCTCAGATATTGAAGCCCATCCTTAAATGCAACGTATTTCCTCCTTCCTCCTACCCCACGTCAGAGAAAGCAGTATCTGGGCTCCTGCAGCTAGTTTAAATTCCTGTGGTTGTAAGCCTGGCTTAATCTGATCCAGATGTTTTAGAATTATGTGAGTTGTGGGCAAGAAGAGGGAGGTAGAAAAAGAGCAGTAATTGCCTAGCTATGTTGCCGCCCTTTTCAGTCCCATCAAGACTGCACACGCGCAGGCTTACACACACTCACAAACGGTTTGTTTTCCTCCAAATGGCAAAGAAGTAATCCAGTGTATCTCAACCATGGCAACTTTAAGACATGTGGACTTCTACTCTCAGAATTCTGAGAGTTGAAGTCCACATATCTTAGAATCATAGGGCTGGAAGGGACCTTGGAGGTCCCCTACTCCAACCCCCTGCCCTTGGCAGATCACTTCAGACAAAGGGTTGTCCAATCTTTTCTTGAAAGATCCTCCAGTGATGGAGAACCCACAACTCTTAGTTATTAAAGTTGAGAAAAATTGTAATAGGCAGTGCAGTGCAGTGCAGTGCAGAGTAGAGCAGAGAAAATAAATCTGGGTCTGACTTTAGAATTAAGCAATAAATGCTTCCACTTTTCTCGTCTTCTTGTTGCTAGCTGCTTTTTTCAGTTTGTTTTAGTGCCAAAATTTCCCCCACTATATAGCTTCGCCAACATGGCTCAGATTTGTGTTTTTCTTCCATACTGTCAAATTTATCACCAGGTATTCCATTAACAGCAAATCTGATTATCTAGTGGGGTTACTTGTGTGACCATATTCTGGCCATAATCCATGGGTTGCATTCCTACTTTGCAATTTAAGATGTACATTAAAAATAATGTATTCATTAATCTGGCATTTGAAACAGATTTACTGCAGGCAGTCCTCTACAAGACCACAATTAAGCCCAAAATGTATATTGCTAAGCAAGACAGTTGTTGTGAGTTTTGTCCCATTTTACGGCCTTTCCATTGTTATTAAGTGAATCACTGCAGTTGTTATTAGTAAGATGCTTGTTAAGTGAATCTGGCTTCCTCATTGAATTTGCTTGTCAGGAGGTTGCAAAAGGTGATCACATAACCCTGGGATATTGCAACCGTCCTAAATATGAACCAGTTACCAAGCAACTGTATTTTGATCATGTGATCATGGGGATGCTGCAATGGTCATAAGTGTGAAAAATGGTCATGAGTAACTTTTTTCAATGCTGTTGTAATTTTGGTCACTAAACAAATAGTTTGTAAACCGAGAAGTATCCGTAATTCATCACCTTCAATTTATGAATGGAAACATTTTGGTTAATCCATTAATTCAATTGTTTTGGAGAACCCAAGTCTTTAATTTAAGCTCTATTGTAGCTCATACCATAGAAAATGCTGGCTAGGGCTGTTGAAAATTGTAGCTTAACCCCAACCATAACTTAGCCAATGATATGAGCCATTGGAATTTTTGACTTGGCAATATCTGGGAGGTCCCATGTTACTCATCCCCAGATTCTAGCATGGGTGAGGTTTAATCATATGATTTTGAGATTGGAGTCATACTAGTATTATTACTGAAATGAAATTGGAAGTGGCCTAAATAAAATCTCATCTGAGCAGTGGGAGACAACAATAGCACCATTGTCCTTCTCCTCTAGCAAGAAAACGTTTTGGGGTCAAGCCTTACTAATGGCCTTCAAATTCCTGAGCTTTGAAAAAATATTTCATTTCGTGTTTTGAACAGTTCTTGAACCTTTTGTGTCTTGGGGCCCTTGTTAGAGTCAGGTGAAATCTACAGGCCCCTTCTCAGAAATGTATTTTAAAATGAATAAAATAAAATAGTGAAATCAGTTGTAAATGTTATCCCATAAGTCCACAGATGCCACCATCACCCTGAAATCTACGCATAGATCTTCAACTCCATGGACTAAGAGGTTAAGAGCCCCCTTTTTTAGAATATAATAAGAGACCCAGTCTGGTGGGCTGACAGGGCTGTTGCCTTCTATGGCTGAGAATTTGGGGAGCTGTAATCCCTATATATCTGGGGTGTTAATTGGACAATAAGAGTGCAAGCAAGAGGATAACCACAGATATGTCAGCTTAGAGTAGGGCTGCAGTTTAGCAGATCTCATTATCCACTATGTGACTGCTTTTCAACCTGATCTGCTTCTTCACAAATGCTGCAATATTATGCTTGAAGGGGCATTTCCTTCATTTGTAATCTAAACAGAAATTCTTCATGGACTAAAGCTCAATTGTTAAAAATTCTCTTCTGCTTACTGTTACACATGAACTTTGCTGCCAAGTGACACTTTTCAGACTAAAAAAGGCGTTCCCTCCCTTGACTAATTCTTTACCAAGAATTGGAGTTTCCTGACCTAGGCAGCAAACAACCTTCTCCAATCCAGGAGGGGATCAGAGGACGGTTAGAGTAAGAATGCTGTGAAAGGGTTAACCTACTGCTGAATCAAAAGGCACCCTTTCTTGGAAAGTTTGGTTACTCTGCAAAGATGCCTGAAACTGCATAATTATAAGGTAACATGCACAAAAATAAGTTCTGCAAACTTAGCAGCTCTCCCTGCCTTGCAAAAAAATAGGGGAAACCTTGAATAATGCAGCAAAGATTAAAAGGAAGCACTGTTGCATTGGAAGAAGTGTAAAGATAGTCCTTGACTTACAAACACAAAATTTATGTTGTTAAGTGAGAAATTTGTTGAATTTTGCCGCATTTTATGACCTTTCTTGTCACATTTGTTAAGTGAATCATTGCAGCTGTTAAATTAGTAACACCGTTGTTAAATGAATCTGACTTTGCCATTGACTTTGCTTGTCAGGTCACAAAAGGGGCTCACATGACCCCGGGACACTGCAACCGTCATACATATGAATCACTGCCAAGCATCCGAATGTAAATCATATGACCAGGGGGCTGCAGCAACAGTCATAAGTGTGCAAAATGCGCCCAAGTCATTTTTTCAGTGCTGCTGTAAATTTGAACGGTCACTAAAAGAACTGTTGTAAGTCAAGGATTACCCTGTAATTGAAGGAAAGTTTGCATAGAACGAACTACTGTAGTTTACAGCACAAATATTCTGTATGTATTTATTCAGCAAAATATAGAGCCAGTGAGACTTTTTTTCTGAGTTTGTGTTTAAGTTGAAATTCTATAGGCAATCCTTGACCATTCATTTAGTGACCGTTAGAAGTTACAACAGTAGTCTAAAAAGTGATTTACAAGCGTTCTTGTCAAGGTCTCTCCATGGTCATGTGATCAAAATTTAGGTGCTTGGCAACCAGCATGTATTTACAAAAGTTGTAGCAGCCCAGAGTCACGTGATCAGTATTTGGGACCTTCCAAGCTGGCTTCCTACAAGGAAAGTCAGTGAGAGAAACCATTGCCAATAACCATCTAACTGCAGTGATTCATTTAAGAACCATGCCGAAAAAGATAAAATTGGGTGTGACTCACTTAACAACCACCTTGCTTAGCAACTGAAAGTCTGGCCCTCAATTTGGTCATAGCTCAAGGACTGCCTGTATTTAAATCTTAAACTTTTCAAGGTAATCTGCATGAAATCCAGCAGTTTCACTGCAAGGCCATTTTCAAAAGCTTTTCAGCCACATTTAAAAGTTGCTTAACAGGATGCAGCAAACCAAAAGCAATCAAAGGCATTAACAATAAGCGAGCTGGCTTTTGCATTTGGTTGTGATGTAATAAACCCTTTTTAGAAGAACATAATCCAGAAGTGGGGAATCTGTAGTTTTCCAGATGTTGAATGGCAACTCTTAGCAGCAGCCCCAACAAATGGCAAGGACATAAGTGAGGAATGCCATAAACCTTAATGGGACAATACCTGGAGGAGAATCATAGTCCACCCACTTCTTTACAACTTCTCACACCCAGATTTTTCTCCAATAAAGTCGGTGTGGAATGGGGGCAGAAACGAAAGCCCTAAAAATTTACTTTATGCCAAAAAAAATTGGCACTCCAGCCTCCTGCTAGTTCTCCAGCAACATTCCCCTGCCTCCCAAGAATTGGCGTTTTGAAATCTATTCAGAATCGCGATTGGCTAAAATTTGGGGATGCATGGGGTGGAGCCTCCATTGGCGGCTAATCCACTACCTTTCCCCCCAATAATTTTAAATAAAGTTTGATAAGAGGAATGGAAGCATAACATGCCTTGGGACTCTTTCTTTTTCTTTTTTTAAAAGACTGCTGCTTACGGGCTTAGCTAAAATACGGTGCCAAACAATTAAAAAAAAAACTCGAGAAAGCAACGATATGCGTTCTGAAAGGAAAGCGCGAAGGATAATGGATGTTGGGCGGGTGAGAAAAGCGATCGCTGGAGAAAGGATGGGCGGTTTAGGGATTAGATTAGATGGCGGGAAGGGAGGGGGGCGAGTAGATCGGCCGTCTGATAGGACGGCGCCGTTTCTCTCCCTTCTCCCGATCCTTTTCCAGAAGAGTAAAGTAATCGCTTGCTATCCTCTGTCGCCTTCCCGCCTCTCCAAGTCTAAACGGATGAGATCCCTCCTAAACCCTTCCAAAAGTCCACTCGCCCCCCCCCCACCACACACCGATTCCCACTTCGATCGGTCTCAGAACGACCCACTCGCAACTTTCTCTCCGTCTCGTCCACCCGTGTGGGCTTAGTTACCTGTTGGCAGCGCAGGGCTGGGCAGGGGTGCAGCCGATCTGTCTCCGTTGGCGCTCAGTACTTCTTCGGAAGTTTTTTTCCTCTGGACTGCCCCCGCTTCTTTTTTTTTTCTTCTTCTTTTTTCTCTAATACAAATTTAGTTCATCCTGCTCGTACCACGTTCCCCTCGCCCTGCCCTTGGCTTCTGGCCACGTGGGTGGGAACAGAGAGCGCGTGGCTGGCCTGATGCTTTCAAGAAGGGAACTGGGGAAAAGGGTGGGCCGGGGGTCGCTTGAAAGGCGCCCGGCTTTTCGAGAGGGTTGGGTCACTCCCCTCTGTCGGTGCCTCTGCTTGGTTTTTTGCCAGTAGTTGCAAGGAGAGGCAGATACAGGTAGTCCTTGACTAATGACCACAGTTGAGCCCAAAATTCCCATTGCTAAACAAGATATTAAGTGAGTTTTGCCCCATTTTAGGACCTTTTCTTGTCACCATTGTTAAGTGAATCACCGCAGTTGCTAAGTTAGTAACATGGTTGTTAAGTGAATCTGGCTTCCCCATTAACATTACTTGTCAGAAAGTTGCAAAAGGGGATCTCGTGACCCTGGGGAACACTGCAACAGTCATAAATATGCAACCGTCTTAATTTGGATCACCTGACCGTGGGGGAATGCTATGTGTGAAATATGCGAAAAAAGGTGGTTGTCACTTTTTTTCACTTCCTCTGTAACCTCAAATGGTCCCTAAACAAATGGTTATAAGTCAAGGACTACCTGCACTTGTTTCCACCTGCCCTTTGGGAAAAAGTCACCTGTTGGATTTCTGCCTGTGTCTCACCAAAAAGACAAATGGGGAGGAATGGGCAGTCTTGGCTCCGACTGTACAAGTGATGCTGCACAGCTGAAAATTCATAAATAACATCTAATTAGAGCCCCCTTTATAGGAGCTACTGGATACTACCATGATGGCGAACCTATGGCATGCGTGCCACAGGCGGCATATGGAGTCAATTCTGAGGGGATGTGAGGCGTTGCCCTGTCAGCTCCAGCTGATTTTCGGCCTTGATTTTCAGCCACTTTTCGCTCTCCAGAGGCTTCCCTGAAGCATCCAGAGGCCGAAAAACTGCCCAACACGCAAACCGGAAGTTCGGGAATGGACTTCCGGTTTCTACATTGGGCTGTTTTTCAGCCTATCTCCCGTCCCAGAATGTCTGAAATACATGGCCTGCCGGAGAGAGCGGAGGCCACGGGGGAGGGGGGGAATAGGGTCTACGAGTACGGGAGTGGGCTGGAGCATTCCGGTCATGATGGGGAGGGGCAGGTACGACGGGAGCTTCAGGGCTAGCCATTACCGGGGAAGGAGGGTTCGCTACGTCACAGAGATCCCTCCTTCTG